GAAAACTGATGTAAACTAGCTTTAAATACTTTTAGAAGGAGCGACTTCTCGTTACACCATCAGACAGAGAGCTCACACATGTCTTACTTACGATCCATTTCAGCCATGACTTCCAATTCATCCGCAAACTGTTGTTCAAAATCATCCTCAATCCCGTACATTTCATCATATTCATCCATGTTTGTGGTCTCTTGTATGTTTTGACAGGAAATTTACAGGTAATCTGACATATAGATAAATAAATCGCAGAGCGTACGTAAATCGATGACAAAAGTTTTCGCGCAAAATTTTTGTGTACGTAAATGTACTTCCGGTTCCATTGTAAAAACCTACATCCGCTCGATAAAAGTCCTGGATGGACAATCTTAAGTATGTATGGGCTATTGGTAAATTAAATAAATGAAAGAGAACACAATTATTTAACATTTATATTAGAAAGTGACCTGCTTGCAAACTCTAACATCAGCCTTTTTAGAACTGTCATTTTCTATTGTATTTTAACAAAGTCCCTTATAATTACAAATTTACAATAGTTGAAACTGATATGAAATAATGTATCTTCTTACATACTGTAAGCACTAAAACAATGATATGCATGATAAACAGCCTTTTAAATATATCTTAAAGGGGTCATATGATGCGATTTCAATTTTTCCTTTCTCTTTGGAGTGTTACAAGCTCTTGGTGCATAAAGAAGATCTGTAAAGTTGCAAAGACTAAAGTCTCAAATCCAAAGAGATATTCTTTATAAAAGTTAAGAGTCAGCCACGCCTACCTAAAACGTCTCGTTCTAACACGCCCCCACATGTCTACATCACTATGTGGGAAGATTTGCATAATGCCGCCCAAATGTTCACGCAAAGAAAGAAGGCGTAACTTTTATTCTCGCTGTAGTATTGTTGCCGCCGCCGCCATGTCGTGAAGGCACTGTGTGATTCGTTGTGCAAACGAAACTACTTTGTTTGGCCTTCCAAAAGAGGACATCATCATGCCTGGAGCTGATCCGTGCTGGTCGCTGAGGAAATACATAAACTTTGCGCTGTGGATCGCCGGATCGGCTTTCACCGTGGACGAAGCGGAGTCCAACCCGGGGTCGTCACATGTGGTTGCCGCAAGCCCTCTGGACGCTCCTTTGTCGAATCCGCCACCTCTGTTCACTTTAGCCCCCGGTCTCTGCTCATTGTAGAGGAGAAACAATGATGTACAGTATGTGGAAAATAATGTGTTTTTTTTTACCTTAAACCGCATAAACACATTTCATTACACCAAATACACAAAATAATGTTCTTTTTAGCAACATCATATGACCCCTTTAAATTAAATCTGTCATTCCCTCGTTTCCCTTGCTTCTGATCTGCAGACAAACTGAGGGGGCGGGCATTGTGTAAACAACGACAAACAGATTGCCCAATCATTCCGCAAGAACCCAAGTATTTTGCATATGGATGTCTCCGCAGAAAGGGGAGTACACCCTCCTAAAATGTGAGTTTTTATCATTTTTGAATATGCTCAAGCTTCCCATAAACAACTCTACGATATAACCAACTTGTTACATAATTAACTTGTTGTCTAAAATGTTGCTACCGTCCCGTGCTTTTATAGCCAGTACCTGACCTATACATTTTGGCAGTCATCTTCATTGTAGTATGTTGTCTGGAACAGCATATAATAAAATTATATATATATATATACGGAGAAAATAGCATGGTCCCTTGTGCAGAGATGACACGTGTACGGTGTAATTGAGAAATATCCCATTTTTATGTTCAAATACTTTTATTTCTAGATGTTCTCGATCATTTATAGTATTTATATCTATATAAAAACAGTGGATACATAAAACAACATTTTATGTAAAAATGTAGCTACAATAAATGTAAAATTAAATGATGCTTTTTTTTTTTACTTTACTGCAAAGAGAAACAAAAACGCCAATTATGTTATGTTATAAGCAAGCATGTATACATGTAGCGTGTGTGTGTGTGTGTGTACCTAGTTAACCATAAAAGTGAGCTAAACCTGACAAAATCTCCAAAAACCTCCCTTTGGGGACGTCCTCATTTGTAAAACTGGTATAAAAATAAAGTAAACAACGTTTTTTTTTTAAATTGTAAAAATGCAGAAAGTTTCCTGTGAGGGCTAGGTTTAGGTGTAGGGTGATAGAATATAGAGTTTGTACAGTATAAAAACCATTACGCCTATGGGATGTCCCCATGTAGATAGCTAAGTAAACGTGTGTGTGTGTGTGTGAAATATTCATGAACTGCGGGTTCCTTCTAAAAATCATTTGGTGGCCTTGACGCTAAAAATCTTGCACAAGGGGGCAGCAAAGCGAATGGTATGTAAATATATTTTCATACAAGATAGCTAAGTAAACGTGTGTGTGTGTGTGTGTGTGTGTGTGTGTGTGTGTGAAATATTCATGAACTGCGGGTTCCTTCTAAAAATCATTTGGTGGCCTTGACGCTAAAAATCTTGCACAAGGGGGCAGCAAAGCTAATGGTATGTAAATATATTTTCATACATTTTGAGGTAATTCACAAAATTTTATCAAAACACATTTAAGTACATCCTTGTTTTATTTATTTATTTTTATTTTTTGTTTATTTATTTAGTTATTTTCCCATAGTATGCGTATGTGTCTACATAGACACTGAATTTCATAAAGCTACGCTAATATTCAACTAGCCCAGGTCTCCGCTATATTACATGATCAATCTATATGTTGCATTCGATGTAGTTATACAGGTCTGCTCGGTATCTGTATAAGTCTTTGTTTTAAATAAAAGGTCATACATGTTTCAGTATGTTGTTTTTCTTCATTTTAATTAGGTAATAAGTTTGTTCTGATGGCACTAAAATAGCAGAACATTTTATTTTGCCCACTTAATAAGCAGAGAGAATATTCTATGTTGAACTTCGAAAGTAAAAGAAAAAGAGACAGAACAGGCCGTGTTGTCATCAATTGTCAGGGCCAAACTGTTATTGTTCCACGTGTTTTAAAATGACATCCAGTTTTCTCGAAACTCCGCCTTTCAACACAGCGCAGCGAGACACTATTGGTCAGACGCGCTGTCAATCAAACAAACATGGCCCCGCCTTCTAGTTTTCTGCTGTATGCTCCTTGATTTGAGTGACATCACCGGTTCCGTCCCAACGCGGAAATGTGTAATATTTGTTATTATAATATAACATCAGTTACCTGGCATGTTGCAGACATATGCTGAACCCTAGCGGTACTGTAAGTGAATGAGTATGCCGCTGTGAAGTTTTTTCCGACACTTTGCAATAATGGCGTTTTGTTGGAGGAGTTTTGAGCCCGTTCGACCTTAGTGTATATTTACTGACACGGACCTAGAACACGCCGAAACCACAACCACAGACGGATCTGTCAGATTCCGGGAGAAGTGATGGACTGGAGGCATTTGCTGCTGTTGCTGCTTAGCTTCGCTGGAATCGTGCCACAGGTAAATACGGGGAAATGGATCTCATGTGTTTACCACTTAATGTTGCTGGTCACCACAGGGAATGCACGGGGACGGGGATATGTGTTGATCTATTTTTGGATAAGCAGAGGCGGGGTGCTCTGGGGTTCTTGGAATGATAATTAAAAAAGTAATAAACAAATATAACAAGAAAAATAAAAACAATTACAGATTATTATTCTATATCAATATATGATTTTATTATAATTATTAAAGTAATATAATATATAGAGAATGATCATGAATAATGCGTGCGAGTGATTCATTTTGGCGAATCGGTTCGTTTGAACGAACCTCTTCAAAAACCCGATTCATAGATTCTTTAGTTATCTCTCGCTAGAAGTCCCTCCGCAGCTTTTAATATTCATTTTGTAGTGAAATTGTTGGTGTTTTATTATTTAGGGTTTTGATTACTGTAGTACTGGAGGTTGCATCTGTATATCTGTGGTAACTGCCATTTTTTTTAGGAAATTGCATTCTTGGTAAATATTTGTAATGGTATGGTAATATTAAAAAAGTAAAATTATATAATAATAAAATTACTATTATTTTTCATGATATTCTTAACTGCATTATACCTACCTCACAGTTTTATACCTAAACAAAATTGTCCAGTACAGTCAAAGAGTGCCATGCCGACAATTTGTGACTCGTTTCGAACGGGTTATTATAAATAAAAGGTTCAAAAGACCGACTTTTTCATTAGGTGAGCGATTCAAGCAGCAAGTTTGTTGAAGTTGGAAACACAACCCTAATAACTGATAATTTTTTTTTCAAAGCTCATTTCAATTTGCGTTTTTACAATAGTGTCACATTACCTGAACCTGAGCACGAGACCTGCATAGGCGCGCGCTAAATAGGCTTTGTACTGGAGAGCTCGCGCAATCCATGACGCATTGTTCACAGAGCGGGTGCCTGCTGTGTGCTATTGCTGCGAATGTGTGAGAAAAGAGTGGTGAGTGTTAAGTTAGGTGATGCTATTAGATCATTTCTTTGAATCACTTACTGGCCCATGTGTTATAATGCTTGACCTGAGGTAATATCACTGTTCTTTATGCCCTCAGGATGAATAATTTGAAATTCAAAATATTGCATCCCCTAAAATAAATAATGATTGTATGCCTTAATGAAATAGCAGCTTAATGTCGTCATCCTACAAGTAAATTTGATACCTTTTGTACTGGTGTTTTTAGTGGATCAGAGTTGCAGCAGTGAGTAATCCCAAACCAATGGCACGGTCTCAAACTATACCCACCTTTTCCGGTTTGTCTGATTTGTCCTTGTGTTTTCTGACTTGTTAATTTGTTTTCGGATTTGTCGTTGTGTTTTCTGACTTGTTATTTTGTTTTCGAATTTGTCATTGTGTTTTCTGACTTATAATGTTTTCAGAATAGTTGTTGTGCTTTCTGAATTTTTATTTTGTTTTTTAGATCACTTAAGCTATTGGATACTATTACTAATAGCCAAAACCCAATTTATTTATTGTATTCAGGTCTCACACCATTCTGGTATGTAATGCCCACTCTTTGTGATCCAACTTTAAAGTTATCTGTTTCCTCTCGAAGGCCAGGCTTTTTGCCAGATCCCAACGATGGCAGTCTGTATGTACTAGGAGGCAAGCGCAAAGAGGGTCTGATGGTGAGTGTCATGGGCATGGGTGCGAGTGTGTTTGTCAGAGTTACAGCTCAGTCATTTATATGAATCTTCTCTGCAGAAACTCCCGTTCACTATTCCAGAACTGGTCCAGTCTTCTCCCTGCAGGAGCTCCGATGGGGTGCTCTACACAGGTAATGTCAAACACATTTATATTTGCTCGTAATATTTTGGGTGAAATCGTATGGAATAAAATCGGTGTCTGATATCTGTATTCTGTGGTAGCGATGGTATAGGGACATTTTATATGAAAAAAACTGTGATTTCCAGCTCAGTGTGATCTTTCAAAATTCATGAAAATTAATAAAAGCTTAAAAGTCATGGACATTCTAGTTTTGCTGAGCAGTGGGAACCCTGATAGCATGTTCATAAAATGATCTGTGAAAAGCTCCATGCCCTTGAACACTCTCATTTATTGTACTGTGTATATTTTCCCAGGTAAAAAACAGGACACTTGGTTTGTGGTTGATCCTCAGACAGGTGAAAAACAGACGAGTCTGAGCACCTCCTCTTCAGACTCCATTTGCCCCTCTGCCCCTCTGCTGTTCATTGGTCGCACAGGTCCGAACACATATACATAAACCTTGTCTTTGAATCATTCTTGTATTGCACGTGTATATATAATACACACACACACACACACACACTCACACACACATTTGTGTGTAAGAAAGTAATACTTTTATTCAGCAAGAATGTGTTTAATTGATCGAAAGTGACAGTAAAGACAAAAATTATAAAAGAAAATATCAGAATATTAAAAAAAAAAAAGTTAAGCAGCACAACATTGATAAGAAATGTTTCTTGAGCATCAAATCAGCATATTAGAATGATTTCTGAAGGATCATGTGACACTGAAGACTGCTGAATTCAGCTTCGCCATCACAGGAATAAATTACATTTTAAAATATATCAAAATATATTATATTAAAAATATAAACAAAATGTAAAATATATGAAATATACATTTTTAAATTGTAATAATATTTCACAAAATATCTTATTGACCCCACTCATTTTTGATTGGTTGTGATGCATGTTTCCCTGTGTATGTCTGCAGAATATATGATCACCATGTATGATACTAAGACTCAGGAGCTCCGCTGGAATGCCACCTACAATGACTACTCCGCACCTCTCTATGATGACAAAAAATATGAGTATAGTAGGTTCCTTACCACGCATGCACAGGCCAGTCTATTGAATTTGTGAATGTGTAAGTATGTTAGGGGTGTTTTTCGATTTCATCAAATTTGCATGTGTCTGTGTATCACAGAGATGTCACACTTTGCATCCAGTGGGGACGGTCTGGTGGTTACGGTGGATCGGGACTCTGGTGAGGTCTTGTGGATGCAGAAGTTTGATTCTCCAGTGGCAGGGTTTTACTTATGGAGTCAAGACAGTCTGCGGCGAGCTCCTCATCTGACAGTCTCAACAGAAACCCTGCGTTATCTGACCTTCACTGCAGAAAACACACAGTCCCATACCATGAAGTGGACCTACCAGTTCACAAAGGAGAACCACAGCACTAAGACTCAGCTAATGTAAGACAGTTTTACAGTAGGTTTTCAAAACCTGTTTATTTAAAGGGATAATTCACCACCCAAAAATAATCATCATTAACTCACCCTTTCATGCCGAACCTGTATGACTTTTTTAAAAGGCAATTAACTATGCAACAAGTCAATTGACTACCTTATTATAAAGTATTATTTTAAAGTAATAATGTATTTGTGTGTGCATATTTTGATAGTCCTACTCTCTATGTTGGCAAGACGAACTCTCATCTGTATGCTTCTACCTCTCTTGTGCATCAAGGTGTGGCAATTGTGGTAAGTTCTGCTCTCCATTATTCAAAACCAATTGTAAAACTTACTTCGGATTAACCATATCCTGTTCCCATTTCAGCCAAAAGGTCTCACTCTTGCACGCATCGAGGGGCCAATCACAGCTGGCGTCACAATGGGTAATGGGCGGCCCGAGTGTGAGATTACACCCAGCACTGATGTGAAATATCCACCAGGAAGCAGCAGCTCCCTGCAGAATCAGTGGCTGCTGATTGGTATGGCCAACTCTTGAACTCTTCAATGCATTTTTTTTCGTATATGTGCAGGCACTCTAAATTTTGCTCACTTGCATACTTAAATATGTGTACTTCAAGATGAATACATGAATACAATGCTGCAACACCCACAGTTTAAGTTCTAGTTCACTAGTTTCAGGACTGAGGTTTGAATATTTGAGAAAAATAAGCCAAAACCATTGGCCTGTGCTCAATGTAAAGTGAAGAGATACAGTACATGCCAATCTGCCCTAAAACTGTTGGCCTAAAGCAGCAATATTTCTCTGTAAATGGATAATGAAGTAATTTATTCATTCAAAAATATATATATTAATTATATTATATAGAAATTTAAGTTTAATTAAAAACAATGAATATATCACAAATAATTAATTAAAAATATATATTTTATATTATTTGTTATTATATCATTGTCATAAATAAATGGATAAAATGAAAAGAAAGAGCTTTTGCAAATTGCATTTCTTAATGTTCATTCAGTCGATGTGTGTGTGTGTGTGTGTGTGTGTGTGTGTGTGTGAGTAGGTCACCATGAAGTCCCTCCTTCGGCTCACACCACCATGTTGAGAGATTTCCCAGAGAATCTGCAGCGCTCTGGTGATATCATCCCACCACAAGGTTCTGGTTCTTCTTTCCATTCTGCCTCTCACCCTGTGAGTCCAATGCACAGTTGACTCAGAAATAAAAAATCTGTCATTTATTCACCCTCATGTTGTTCAAAGCCTGCATTATTTAGCCTGCATTATGTTATTGCTTTTGTGAAAAACACATCAAGTTATATTTTGTATAATGTTTGCACTGCTATTTTCCAAAAGCTGTCAAAAAGGTAATACTACCATAAAAATACCATAAGAAGTAATCTTTACATAAAAGTACCATAAAAGTAATCTATGCAACTTTTGCTTTATATTCCAATTCATAATGTTAATTTGAGAGCTGTACTGTACATTCTTAAACGAAATTGTTAAATTAATTGAGATTTTGAAGACGGCATCTATAGCAACTTTATAATTGGTTGCAGGCCAATGAAAATCTCATGCATGATGAAATTGCAAGCATTCCGAACAGCCAAGCACAACCTTGTCATGTTTTGTTTACAGTTGCCACTGGTAACAAAGCCCAGCACTTCCCCCGTGTTGCCAGACTCCTTGACCTCTGACCCCATGACAGTGCTGGTGATGACACTGCTGCTGGGAGCATGGATTGCCTTCCTGCTAACACACAAAAGGGTGTGTAGTAGAGTAAAGCAATAAGCCCCAAGAAGCCGTGGTTTAAGCTTAGCTGTTATAAATTCACTGTAAACCAGGGCTTCACGGGGCTTATTGCTTTTATAAAATGGTCATTCCATATACGTAGTAAGGTTTCACAAAATAAAACAGAGCAAATAAAGTGTAATGATATAAATAAAAATATTATTCTTCCGCCAAACAATGTAGTTCCTCAGAAACGGTTGTGGTTCCAACAAAGTGGTTGCCGAGCAACACACAAATGTAAACAAAGGTGTATGTTTGTAGAGTAATTTGCAACAGCTTCGAACTTGGCTCAACCAATCAGAAACAAGGACCGGAACTATCCGTTTTATAAAGTGTGTTTTGAATAAATTAGTATCAGTATCAGTGTTCCTCTAAAGTAGCCTTCTGATGTTAATGAATATAAAATTTATTTAATTTATTTATTATTAATAGTGGCACCATCTTAGGTGGATAAATATATAGGTGGATAATATTTATTATATACTTATATGTGTACGTATATTAATATGCATATAAGTATGTATGTATATAATATAAATAAACAAGTATAAAACTGCTTGTTCTTTTCTTTTCGATTAGCCTGTCAGAAAATCCCAGAGATCTGAAGAGCCAGTGGACTCCAACCCTCTGCCGGTGTTGACCAATCAGAGCACTGCCACAGAGCCCAACACTCCGTCCTCAGACTCATCCTTTAACAACAACAGCCATTCAGATAAGACTAGTTCTGTTGCATCCAATCAAACTCAGCCATTCTCAAGCAAAGACTCCGCCCCAATTACGACAGCTGCTCAAAGTACGGAAACTATTCTATATCCATATCAACTATTGAACCTTATTCATGAAATACAACAACAAATTTCTGTGCAAATCCTGTTAAATTCAAACTATTCTTAAAGGCATAATATGTAAGATTTTTTATTAAAATATCCATAAACCACTAGAACATTTTTATATATTTTGCTGACTTGTGTACTTACATTATCCCAAATGTTTCGAAGAATGTTTAAATCCAGAGAAATAAGCAATTTTAACTAGTGACGCGGACCGTGTCCATAGTGTCATTGTGTCAGTGGTCGACTGTGGCATAATAAAAGCTCCGCTGCTTTCGAGCCGTGTGTCGCGCTCGTCCAGCGGCCTCGTTTCGCTTCAACAGCTTTCAGCCTCACCCTGCTTCATTCTACTATGTTAATAAATCATTAGCTCATCCATGAACATGATTTCTGCCCGAGTCCCATCAGATTGCATCGGCTGTGGGGATGAAGACGACAGCTCCCATGATTCCACACTCAGTCACGGCGTCATCAAACTACGCCTTTGTCTCTTTGTTTATTTTGAATACGCGCCCTCTAGTGGCGAAAATTACATATTGTGCCTTTAAGTCACTTGTTGCTTTTTTATGACTGATTATAAGAGTTGCATTTCATGAATGAGGCCCATGTTCTTTCCTTTTATCTAAACTAGCAGTTTATTTCATTTACAAACCTGTATGTTGTTCACTATAATTTAAGCCTTTACTTTGTGTTTTTTAAATTGTGTGTAACTCATATTCTTCAGGTGAACAGCCTGACGTTGTGGAAGTTGGAAAAATCTCTTTCAGTCCTTCTGAGGTGTTGGGCCATGGGACAGAGGGAACCTTTGTGTTCCGGTGGGTTATTATGAATTGTGATGCTAGTTTTTTACTGGTTTGTTTGGTTGGTTGTTCTTTACCCTTAATTCACTGGTGTTATGGATGCAGGGGTCATTTTGACAGTCGGCGTGTGGCGGTAAAGCGTATCCTTCCAGAGTGCGTGGAGTTTGCAGAGCGAGAGGTTCAGCTCCTCCGTGAATCAGACGAGCATCCCAATGTCATCCGTTACTTCTGCACAGAGCGGGACAGACAGTTCACTTACATTGCCATAGAGCTATGTGCCGCTACACTCCAGCAGGTGTGTTTCAGTGAGTGTGTGTGTTTGTAGAACATAACAGTGCTTTTGAATGTGGTACTAGTTTGCTTTCTGCTTTTCACTGTTTTATCGTGATTTGTAAAATTGGTCTGCACTGGGGCAGAAACATTAGAATTTTATCATTAGAACTGAGAAGTCAACCAGTGGCAGACAAGGTAATCTGCTTGAAAACAAACTGTTTTTTTTTTCAGTTTTAACCTTAGTTTAGGAATTTTGTTTGTTGTTTTTATTTTTTTAAGCTTTATTTTTATTTCACTTAACACTTCTGAATGTGTTTCTAATTCATCATAATAATTCATCTAATATTTATATTTTATTCTATTTTAGCTTTATTTCAATTAACAAAAACAGTTTTAGTTTTAGTTAACAATAACAACATTGAAACAATGTAGCCTCAACAAAAATGTTAAATGTGTCTTTAATACATGCAGTGTTTTTTTATTTTAGTATTATTAATACACTTTTTGTTTTGCCTTATTTTCATTTTAGTTTTAGTAAATTTAATACTTGTATCTAATATTTATATTTTTCATTTTTATTTCAGCTTTATTTCAGTTAACAAAAATGCTTTTTAAAGTTTTAATTTGACTTAACAATAACATAAATTAGTGAGATTTATGCTTAAAACAGTCTGCCAAGCCAAGTGAAAATACACTTATATTCAAGATGCGTTCTCTGACAAATATGCAAAACGCTTCATTTTTAAAGATGGTTTAAGGATTTAGATATTTCTACTAACAAGCAAGACAAAAACTGTGATCACAAATAGGACTTTGGCAATATGCCACAACTATATTCTTGTACTGTTCTGTATTTTCTAAGTGTATAATAACATTTTTAGTATTCAGTTTCATCTGTATAATCAGCTGTATAATCACAACTGATTTGTTTCCATGCACTCTGATTGGGTTTTTCTGTTTGGTATGCAGTATGTGGAGGACCCAAGCTGTCCTTACTCAGACCTGAACCCAGTGTTCCTGCTGGACCAGACCATGTGTGGCCTCAATCACCTGCACTCCCTCAACATCGGTGAGTCACTGTTGCCATAGCAACGATTTCAATCATAACTTCCTTCCTGTAACTTCTTAAAAATGCATCACAGTTGCACATGTTAGTATTGCATTGCACCAATGTTTATTAAGTGCTATTAAAGTAATTGGATAGAGACAGTATATATGCATGCAAGCAGACGGACCCACCTTCATTAGTAATTACGTGTCCCTCTCGTGCTCAGTTCACAGGGATTTAAAGCCACGAAATATTTTGCTCTCTCTCCCGGGGGCACTGGGTCGAGTCCGGGCGGTGATCTCAGATTTCGGCTTGTGTAAGAAGCTTCCAGATGGTCGCCATAGTTTCAGCCTACGCTCTGGAATACCAGGAACCGAAGGCTGGATTGCCCCTGAATTACTCATAAATGCTCCAAAAGGGAACCCTGTACGACCAGTAGACATGCATACAAACACACACGTCACATGTTTAGTTTAAAAAACAGATACTGTGGACTACTGAATTTTAAAAACTCACCAAATAAGATATATTCTGTATAAGTTTGTCTCCTGTCCCTCTATTTTTCTGTCTTTAGACGAGTGCAGTGGATATATTTTCGGCCGGATGTGTGTTTTATTATGTGACGTCCAAAGGACAGCATCCGTTTGGTGACACTCTGCGGCGTCAAGCTAATATCCTCTCTGGAATCTATAACCTTGACCACTTTATGGAGGATATACATGGTTTGTGCATGCATGAATTTTAAGTATATGGATGTGTACTTTCTGTTTAAGAAGTGTCTGGTTTTGTTTAGACACTGTTATCACTGACTTAAAGGCACAATATGTAATTTTCGCC